CGATGAAGTCGCATTTTCCCCAGGTTAAGGTGCCCCTATCGTGAAAACTCGCGTTCGCGATATATCTAGGGGTATCCTCCTTTTCTTTCGAGTTCCTGATGGATGTAACGATCTACAATGTGGATTATCGCCATTCACAATGGAATCGTTATCGAGCGAACGACGGAAAGTCATGTCGCGATAGGGCGTACACCAGGAAGAAAAATAGAGGCGAAAGATCGTTATTCCCGATTTAACCTGGTCAAGCCTCTCGACGATTACTCCATTTCTGTGCGTGCAAAGCGATTATTACGTAACGATGACGATGATGAGATTACGCGGGGACTCGCGTAAACCTATTTTCATTTGCCGAGTAAATGAGCGCGAACGTCGACGTCGCTTTATGCGTTGACATCAGTTTTAATTATGCTCGATAAGCGCCCGCTAAAATATTTTTCGTCCATACTCCGCCGCACCTAATTTCGCTGCCGGTAGTAAAGTTTAATTACTTCCCGAGAGAATAGACTGTTTAAAGGAAATAACGATTTAGAATTTGTTTTTTCAAAAATATAGAGACAGAAACTGTCTAACAATATTATAAAATATTTAATGCTAAATATATAATAAGTGTAAAAATAAAGAAAAATCTTTAGTATATAAAATAAATATCAGCGCTGACGTTTACATCGTGCTAAAGTCGAGAATCTAAAGGGAAATAATAAATAATCGAAATTAAGGAAGACATTTCGATATACACGAGAATAAATTAAATCCCGTCCGCAACATTCCCCTCGCCCCGCGATACTTTCTAAGATAAATTTTCTTTTCTCGAAATTCTCTGGTGTCTTGTTCCTCAACTAGCAGAAGATAAATCTCCGTCTCTGTAGCACGCGACATCGCGGTTTATTCATATCGCGTAGAAGCTGAGCTTTTAGTTTTCAATTATCCGCGACACTTGTCTGGTTGTTCCGCTGAAAGAAACAACGTGGGCGGAAGACACGCTATTGGTGTGGACAGACCTTTGTTATAGGAAGGCTTAGCTAAGCTTTTCTACTATAAACTTTAATCTCCTATTATAAACTTTATATTATTTTAAGCAAATGCATAAAATAATGACAGTTTAAGGAAATCATGAAATGCGACTAGTGCTCTATAATATATGAGAACAGTTAAAGAGGAATCCTACGCGACAAAAGTGAGTCAAAGAAGGATTGTTCTTTTTGTCTTACGTATTATTTTATTAATAGTATATTTCAGAAACATTACAATAAAACGTAAAATATAATAAAATAATAAAATAATTACAAAGTGCATAAATATTATTAAAATTAGTGCAATTTTGTAATTTTTTTAGAAATTATAATAAATTTGAAAACAATTATTTAAAACATTATTGTTATTATTGTTATTTTTAATGCAATTCTTTAATGCAATATTAGCATTTGTTATAATCTTATAAAAAAATATCGTGTGGACAAAGGAAACACCTTAATTGTTCTTTAAATAACATACACTTAATAAAAGTCTAACAGATTGTGCATCAAGGCATCTATCGAAATCACGACGACAAATCGTCAAAAGTTTAAAATCAAACATTCTCTACGAGAAGAGAGTAGGCAAAAGGAGGAAGCAACGCGCGGAGAGAAGTTCGCAAAGAAAAATGGAGCAAAGTTTCGCCGCGGGCAGGCTCGCGAGCGGCTGAGAGCGTCACAAACTGTGTAGGACCTGTGCACCCACCGAATGGTGGCAAAGACGCCTTGTAAGCGTAAAATCGGCTCGACTCGTTCCTCTGTGCATCTCGTATTGTGCCCCCGCAATGCATGCCGGTTCGCGGTCCTGGCGACGTCCCCGGCGGAAATCAAATGCATAATGCTTGGCATACTCGAGTTTCCTTCTTCGCCGCTGCCGCCGTATTTTAAGTTTAAGCAGCTGCCGCGTGGGTTGAGGAAAATGGGTTGAGGTAGAGAGTACGAGAGAGAAGGCAAGCTAGAAAGGGGGCCCCCACAGTGCAAAACTTGCGGAAGTTTGTCACCCCGTCGCAAAACACACTCGCGCACTCGTGGTTAAGGAAATTGCAAAGTTTCCTACGGGACTTTTGCGCCACGTATCAATTCCAAACAACGGCAGGTTGCTTCCCTCTGACACTCCTTTCTCTCTTATGTTTTCCGTCGTACGTTACGTCAAGATATTAATCGCTACACACTTGTCGATGCAAGTGTCGATTCTCGCGTCTCTCATATTTTTCCGAGCTCTCGAACATGGCCGTTTAGACGATAATAAAAACGGTTCTTTTAGTATTTCGATTATTGTTACGATTGCTTGGTATGCCCATCTCGTTTGCTTCGCTACATTCGCGTAGGTGATAACCATACAAGATACTAAGAAACTATTACAAGATTCTAAGAAAAAGGAAATAAACAAAAGAAAAAAAGAAAATATGAAAAGAAAGAAAGAAAGAAAGATTTCTAAGTGTAAACGTTATTTACACGTGCCATGCGAAGTCATATCGATCATAGTCTTATTTCGTATTTAACTTTCTTCTATCGTATTTATATAGTTGTACATAATAAGTCTTATATATATTAACAATAAAGTTAATC